AGTAAGTATCTCTTTAATTATAGTATTATATTCTTTAATAAAGCTCGCGTAAATAAGAATATTATTTAGGTATATTAAAATACTAGCATTAATTAAATCTTAGAAAATATTATTTATTATTACCTAAAAGGTAATAAAGGCGTTAATAAAACCTAATAGTATTATTATATATTTAAAGAGATTATATTTACACGTAAAGGCTATCTTTTATTTATAGCCTTTTATTATACGTATAAGGTTAAATTTAATTTTAAGGTTAATTTTTAAGAAAACTATAGCTTCTTATAAGCGATCTTAAAGCTTATAAATAAGTGGTATTAAATACCTAATAAGTACTATAACTTTATTTAAACCTTTATAGTTAATAACTAGTTAAAGTAGGTCTTTTAAGTCTTTCTTATTTATAGATATTAGAGAGGTATTATAAGGTACTTTAGATTTTCTAATTTAACTAGATTTAAGTATTTTATTTAATTAAAGATAAAATGCTTTAAGTTCTTAGGTAAATATAATAAAAAGAGATTCTTATAGTAAAGATTTCCCTTTTATTAGTTTAATTTAATAATTCTATAGTTAATAGTTTAAAAGGTAAAGAGCTACTTTAGCTAATATAATAGAAATAAACTTCTTAAATTCTTAAGGTATTATATTTAAGGCTACTTATACTATTACTTTTACTATTATAACGCGATTTTTTATTTACGTAAATCTTAATAAATTTAAGTTTATATAGTTCTTTTTATAGAACTTTAAGGTAAACTTTATCTTATTTAAGTTATTATCTTAAAGGTTTATTAGCTAATATTACTTTATTTATTAATAGGGAAGAATAATATTATAATTAAATCCTATAGCTTTTAACTTAAAGTTTACACTTATAAAGTAATCTTCTTAATACCTTAGAATAATAAAGCTTATATAATAGTAATTATTAAAGTTATTAGGCTTATTATTAAACCCGTATAAAATCTTCTTTTAAGGTTACTTATAAATTAAAATTCTTAACTTTTAAGCTAATATTAAGAATATAATAGATAAGAAGCTATTAATATTAAGGAGAGCTTTAAGTAGTATTTCTTTCCCTTATTTAATTAAAGTTATAAAAATTATTAATTATAGCTTAATTTAAGGTTTATTAGATTAAAGCTTCTTTAAATATAAAGCTATATTAGGTTTATTTTAAGGTAAAGACCTTTTCTTATAAGATAACTTATAAGGGTCTTTTAAAAATTTAAATTAAAGTTATAGGGTAACACGTAATTATATTCTATTAGATCTCCTAAGATTATATTAATTTTAAGCTATTTTACTAGTAGTAGCTTTAGTTTCTCTTTACTAGATTTTTATTTATTATTACTAGATTTCGTAATATTAGTAATCTTAAAAGAGGCTAATAGTAAGGTATTACCTTCTTTATCTTTATTAATATAATATTAAGTAAAAGAGTAATTATCTTATTTATAATATTAATAGCGGTTATTAGCCTTCTTTCTTGCAAGCTAATATTAGGGATATAATAGGTAAGAAGCTATTAATATTAAGAAGAACTTTAATTAGCGTTTCTTTCTCTTACTTAATTAAAGTTATAAAAATTATTAATTATAGCTTAATTTAAGGTTTATTAGGTTAAAGCTTCTTTTAATATAAAGTTATATTAGGTTTATTTTAAGGTAAAGACCTTTTCTTATAAAATAACTTATAAAGGTCTTTTAAAAATTTAAATTAAAGTTAAAGGGTAATACGTAATTATATTCTTTTAAATCTTCTAAGATTATATTAATCTTAGGCTATTTTACTAGTAATAGCTTTAATTTCTCTTTATTAGATTTTTATTTATTATTACTAGATTTTATAATATTAGTAATTTTAAAAGAGGCTAATAGTAAGGTATTACCTTCTTTATCTTTACTAGTATAATATTAAGTAAAAGAGTAATTATCTTATTTATAACGCTAATAGTAATTATTAGCCTTTTTTCTTTTCTTAATAAAAGTCTTATTAATCTTTTTAAGAGCTTTTTAAGAGAACTTTTATCTTTTTTCTTTATTAGGCTTATTATTCTTAGTTTAATTCTTTAAGAATTCCTTTAATAAGCCTAAAGGTTTTTAAGAGCTATTAGTTTTAAATTAGCTTAATTTTAAGAGCTTTTAAGTTAAATTAAGCGTGTCTTTTTTATAAATTTAATTAAGTTAAGGTTTATTATTATATCCCATATTAATATATTTTTATAAATTTAGCTTACTTTAATAATAGTATTAAAGTATTTTTTATTTAAGAGTAATATACTATCTCTTTTTAAGTAAATTAGCTTAATTATCTTATTTAATAATATCTTAATAATATACGTTTAAAGAGTAAGGTTAATTTAATAAACTACTTTATTTAAGTTTATTATTTTTATAAGAAACTATAAGATATTCTTAAAGTATTTAATCTTTAAAAGCTTTTTAAGGTTATTAGTTACTTTTAAGACGTTTTTAAATCTCTTTTAAATAATAATAATATACACGTTTTAATAGTTTATTACTTAAAGACTTTATAATTATTAGGCTTTTTATTAGTATTAAATCTTTACTTTATTAGCTAATAGTAATTTTATTTAATTAATTTTCAGTTAATTAAAGGGTAAGCTACACGTATAAAAGTTAATATATATAATAACGTTAATTTATTAAGAGTAAAACTTTATAGGAAATCTTTTATTAAAAAAAGCTAACTTAAAGATCTTTAATAAGTTATTTCTCTTTATATTATAGGTTCAATTAATAAGATAAGTTAAAGAGTTCACTTATTTAAGTTAATTAAAGGGTTTTAAGCTTAAGTTTAAGGGCCTTAAAGAACCTAAAGGGGGTTTATTAGGCCTTTTATTTTAACGATTATCTTTACTATTAAATAAGTTACCTAAATAGCTAGGGTTTAAAAAGGCCTTATAAATTAAAGGTTTTAAGAAATAAAAGTAACGTTAATTATCCCGTAAATTTCTTATATATACTATATAAAGTATATTCTTATTATAATAAGATAAGGTAAAAGCACTTCTTTTAATACTTTATAAAATAGTAATAAATTACTAATAATAAGCGATTAAGTTAAGTAATTTAAGGCTACTTTTCGCTTAATTTTACCTAATATTCTTTTAATATTAATAAATTAACTTATCTTAAACTTCTTAAAAGTATTTTTAATAATAAATTAAATTAAAATGTTAAAAGCTTTAACGTATTAGGCTTATAAGCGTAAAGCTTTATAAGCTTAGGTTAATTAAACGTTTAAGCTAATAATATTATTATACGCTACTATAAATTAATTAATTAATTTAGTATTTTAAGTTAAGTTAAAGGCTTTTCTTATAATTACCTTAAAGTTAAAAGGGTTATAAATAACTATTTAACTTAGGTTAATAAATACTATAACTTTAAGATAAAGCTTAGCTTAAGGTTTTAAAGTAAAATATTTTTCTTTATTTTAAGAGAAGAATAATATAAGTAAGTTAAGTACCTTTAATAATAATAGTTAAGTAAATTTAAAAGGTATAAAGTAATAATCTCTTAACTTAAAGTTATAATTCTTATTATTATTATTAAAAGTATAATAGGTATTTTAATTAATAATAATATTAATTAAAAAGAAAGTAAAGAAGTAATTTAAAAAGTAATAAATACTTACGCTTTTATAAGATAAACTATTATAAACTTCTTAAAAAGTATAAGATAATTAGGTAAAGGCTTTTATAATATTAAAGTACTTTAAAAATAAAAATAATAATAACTCTTTTAATAATAATTTTTATAAGGCTTTCTTTAAGGCTTTACTTATAAGAGAGAAACTAATAATAAAAGGTTAAAAGATATTATAAAGTAAGTTAAGTAATTATAAATTAAAGGCTTATCTTTAAGAGTATAAGATTATTTATAATAAGAGCTTAATAAAAAGCTTAAAGTAAAAGAGCTTAATTTAATAATAATCTTATAAAATATTAAAGGTTCTTAGTTTCTTTAAGCTAAAAGGTAAGAGAAGATTATCTAATTATCTTATATACATAAAAGAAACGGCCCGTGCCTAGTATGCCCTATAGTTCTCGTAATCTCTTTGTGTAATAAAGGGCTTCTAATCCTTGCTTGACCTAATTCGTGTGACAGACTGATTCTACCCTCCATTTCCCGGCATATGCAGACATCCACAGTCCTACTCAAGCTGTTGGACATCGTGCTGTCGAGAAATGTCATACATACAAACCAACAAATCAAACTAAAACACAACATGCCATTCTACTATAACTACCACGAAGCGGCAAACATGTCTACGGGCTCTGCGACAGACAAAGGGTATCATGATTCGGACACGACGTTATGCGCAAACTCTCGAGGAGTCAGACGGTTCGATAAGAATTAAGGGACAGAAGGGAAAGAAGATGATGGAGACTTGAATGGCTGAGCAGGCGTGCTGGGACATGGATGGATTGAATCTGGGTGCGGAGGCATGGTCTTTGATTTGGACTTTCTGGACTTGAGTGTGTTATTGTTTTGTTGAGGGATACTTTTTGTTAATTTTGGGAGGTGCTGTCAGTTGAGAAGGAATGTTTCTTGTTTTTGGTCAGATTATGTCCTATGTCCTGTATTTCAAGTTTTGACAATGTCACTCGTTTATGAAGAGACTGGTTCTTGTTTATATGTGTCCCTGACTGTGAGGATCAAGTATTCAGGTAGTAGAATTAATGTTGTATCCAACACCTGATCAGCTGAATATGATTTTGATTCTCATGTTGAACATCAAGAGGCTTGCACATGGGCCCGGTTGTCTCATTCATTACGGCGTTCAATTCCAACATATCTTGTCGTGGGCTCTTTTTAGCAATCGCCAAATCTAGACATGTCTAGTCCGTAGACTTCAAAGCCCATCACAGGACAAAAGGGTTGCATTCTACATGATTCCCGAACGGCATCTTCATGGTCTGCTCTTTATTTCTTTCGCAAAGAGCTGTCGAATTTCCAAGCAAGGTTTCATTCAGGAAGCCGTGAAGCTGGAGCGCAGCCATTCTCTAAATCGCGACAATCACTGCTCATTCTTTCAACTAGGAACGCAGCCGGAATGCAGCAGAGCTGTCTGGGTTCCCTCCAAGTCTTTTCCCAGCGAACACACCTGACACTAAGCTGCTCATGATGAAAGCATTGATGAAAGCATTGATGAAAGCATTGATGAAAGCATTGATGAAAGCATTGATGAAAGCATTGATGAAAGCATTGATGAAAGCATTGATGAAAGCATTGATGAAAGCATTGATGAAAGCATTGATGAAAGCATTGATGAAAGCATTGATGAAAGCATTGATGAAAGCATTGATGAAAGCATTGATGAAAGCATTGATGAAAGCATTCCCGCTTTGCATTCACAGCCGGACCAGTTAAATTACACTCATGCTCGAGGACACACATGCAAGGACTGCGACATGTCCTTTGTTCAGAGCGAGAGCACTGGCTCAACAGCCGGTGAATTGGCCACCAGTCTGATTTACTCGCAGGTCTTCAAATATAAATGACCCCTTTGCCGACCTTTTGCGCAAGTCCCTCGCGGTTTCGTCAAGCCCTCGCCTTGGTAGATGAAGCTCCCCGGCTACTCACCCCCCCGGCCCCGACTCATATCTGATCAGGAGAATATATTAGGGTTCAAATATCAGCGCCCGCAGCGACGTCAACATGTGCGAGTTGACTTACAACCACAGAAAATGCGGCAAATGTCATGTCATGACACGCACAGATGAGAATCCCCATGAGCAGATGTGCCGAAATTCCTACGTTGGGGCCTGTCCACTACACAAGATTACGGAGACTTTTACCACGGAAACGTGTGACTCGTGCCTGAGGTCCCCGAAGAGATCGAAGACCGGCGACGCGTAGCCACCTCTTGCGCCTCGATGGGATAAGCTTTCACTGGCGCAAAGTTGAGCTCTGGTGCCTTTCAAGAGTCTGGTCGCCCTCATCGCAGCTGTGTCCGAGCCTCAATAACGGCGTGCGACTCAATTCTTAGCCTTCAACCTTGGATTTTTGAGGTATTCAACACACCAAACCCTCTAGACCGCTCCTTTCCACGCATTCTCAATACCCGGTTTTCGGAAGGATAGGGGGGAGGGATTAAGATCTGGCATCACTCCGGTGCTTGTGAACTAGCAGATCATGTTGGAAGAAACAGGAAATTTTTGGGCCCGGTTGGTCACGATAGTTGCTTTCTCTAGGGCTCGAGCTGAAGGGAGCTCTAGAAGGGGTTTTCAGGGCTCTGACGGTCTGACCAGGTATAGAAGGGGTCAAGTTTGCAGGGCATCGTCATCAATCTTAAATCTCTCATCATCAATTCAATTGACTCTACCTTCCAATTCCGCTGCGTAAATTGCTGCGATATTTCCAACAGATAAGTGTGCCGCATGAAATGCAGGAAAATATGAAAATGTTGGTCTGCAGAGAACCTCGTTGATTGTTGATAAGCTTGGACTGGCAACCAAACTGCGCAGGTTACGGGGACTATAGGTCCCTGGTTGTGTAAATAGCTCAAGTTGGATTTTTCCTTGAGACTGCTTCTTTTCTCTTTGTGAAAATTCGCTTCATTCGAGTGACACTTGACCGTACTCGTGCCCTTGTATCATCATCCGGCAGCCAATTAGGTGAATGAATACACAGATTGATTCAATTTATACTACCTCACCTACGTAAGGAGTGAAACTGAACCGGGATACACGACACTTTTGTGCGAATCTTAACCATGATTCGTGACTTTCAAGATAGCGCCAGGACTTCTCTTCATCCACTTATGGCTGAACTCACCTTGCAAGATATCAGACTTGTCACCGACGACGCCGCCAACTGTGGCAAATCCAACATCTGGGCCCGGGACGACCTTCAAGGTCTTGCTAGCATTGTCCCACGTAGCAGTGTGACTGTTGCGCTCATCAGTGCGGCTTCCGCCGCCGCCAACACTCATCGGAATACCAAAGACGCTGATGTTCCCTCCCGCGCTGGTAATCTCCTTCATCTGGGTGTCAATGGTGTTGGCAGCTGAAGCGACAACCGAGATTTCACATAGCAAAGACCGGTGGCGAGAACAAGTTGGCTAACCCTAGCAAGGGACTTTACCTCGCTCGGGGCATCTTTGCGAAGCTTATACTTGGACACGTCGTCATTACTGAAACCGCGTCAATAGTGCGACAAGGGCAGGTTAACAGTGACTTGAAACGGACGGTTCAGTTCAATCTCAATAATCGACTTTGAGGTATCAAGGTCCTTCGTTTTCCACGAGGACTTGAGGGACCAAAGGCCCCTATGTACACAAAAAGTCGTGAGCACTTGAGGCCTGCCTCAGGTCTCGCTTAGGTCCGACTTCGGGCCTCGTGATAATTCCTTTGTTGTTGTGTGCTGGAAACTAGGCGCCGGGATCTTCTCGTTGTTGTTGAATTTTCTCAAGAGTCATCCCGGACTCAGGATGTTGCCTATGGCACCGTGCATATTGAGGCTGGTCTTCGTATTTAGCCCCCGTGACATTCATGGAAAAAGGGGTTGGGGTTGGTACAAACCCAGGATAGTCGTTCGTTTTGTCCAGGCCCTTTCCGGGCATCGCCGATCGTCATTGATTGTGGCAGCCTTTGGACAATTAATCTGGGATTGAATTTCCGTGATCCTAGAGCCAACGTTGGCCAGCTTTGCCTCGGCTGCCTTGAAAGCAGGAGCCTTCCCACTGGCAACGTAGTCGGAAAGCTTCACATCTGGGGGGAATTGGTCCAAGTTTCTGCTCCTTGGTGAGCTTGGCGACGGCAAGGCTCAGCTGCGTGTCGTATGCTACCTGCATGCTGGCCTGATGCTTTAGAGCGTCTAGCAACGCCTGGTCCAGGGCTGCACTTGGCTTTGCTCCCTATCTCAACGCGTCAGCAAAAGTTGGAGATGACGGTTGAATCTTTTCCCATACTAGGTCGACCCAGTTCAAGTACCTTCAGGCATTCTGATAAGCATTGCACGGTGGAAGAGGATTGAGTTGACCACTCACGTGTTAAGGGCTTGCGAATATCCACGCAGAGCAGAGGGGTTGTAGAACAGATTATCGGCTTCCAGGAGGTTATTTCCAATGTTGTACAGGCCTTGGTACGTATACTGATCAGGGGTGTCATTCCCAGCTACTGGGCCCTTCTGAGTTTTGGTTGAGAGAAAGAAAGCTCCGCTTTGTGCAAAGTTGGCACCGGCCTTGTCCTTGATGGCCTGGCCATAATAGAGCCAGAAGAGCTGGTTGATCTTGTCTGTAGACGTATTGAACGGCTGACAAAGATGGAATCAATAATAGATTTGTATTCAGTAAGTATTAGGAAGTACTAGCTTAATTTTAGTTATAGTCTGTATAGAATTTGTTAGGAATTTCAGGGGGGGTTATAGTAGATTACATACCCTTTACAATGCCCTCTTTATGCGCCCATTTGTTCTTTTGCTTCTGTTTATATGCCAATCTTTGCAACTCAATAAACTTAACTATAAATGACTAATAGAATCAAAGAAGTCGTCACAAAACCTCTTTATTTCAGCTCGATGATGCACGTAAGCTTCAGGTAGTCACGTAATTGCTGAAAAGTTAAAATAAATCCAGGCCATGCTACCAGGCTAAAAGGCATTTACAAAATAATAGATTGACAAAGAAATTACTAGCTTTTGACTATGAAGCAGGCGTTATAAGATTAAAGATAGTGGTAGTTGCATAGGTGCCTTGATCATGATGCAAGCAAGCCGGTAGAGGGTAAGATCCTGGCCTCCTTCTTTTACTATCTAATAAGTTTTTCTTTATAGCGAATAAATGTGAATAGTTTATTATTATAGGTACCTAAAAGTATTAAAACTGGAATACAAGTCCATATTTCAGGTCACTATTTGCACATAATCAATAAGACCAAAGCAAACTGCGGCCTAGGAAGCCATAAAGTGGTTCGGGGCAAATATTCCGCGACTATCCGAGGCGCGCCAACACGGGAATCGTCATCTCCTGGAATTGATAACGGCCTTGAAAGCTTGAAACTTTCTGCCGGCGTAACGGTGGCAGATTTTTGTGGCTGGCTGAAACATTTCCAACTGCTAATATGTAAATGAGGCGCCAGACTCCAGACTCGCAAGACATGGTTTGAGTTCCATAGTATTGAATGACATCACAAACGTCTCTCGCATGGCTTTGTGACAAATATATGGCCCAAGGTGCCCACTTCGCGACATGTATCGCCCGTCTGTTGCCTCGCTGACTCTGTGTTCTCCTCGACCTGCCCTCCTCGCACTGAACTCAAAACCAACAGCCACAAGCACCAATGTCTGCGTCAGTAACCAGATCTATCCAGATACTTTTGCATACGCGAATCGTTCGGAAGGCACAAGTTTCTGGCTCACATGCCGAGACCGAAACCTCTGCGAACACTGTTGAGCCAATGGCCCGCTGGGTGCGGGTGTCCCCAAGCCCTCAAGTGTCCTTGAGGCTACACGCATGCAGCAGCCTTCTTTATTCTGGAAAGCCATTGCACTCTGCCTCAGCTACCTTTACCAGCTCAGGTAGTTTGCATGACAATGATCGGGCCCTGTTCCTCGCGGATCCCAGCCGGCGTGGCATATCCCTCTGAGGTTACAAACTATCAGGTTTTCATCAACACGGATACCATGCAGTAAGTCAATCGATTATTGTCTCCGCTTAGTAGAGGCTCTTATTTTGAATTTTTCAACTCGTGAGTGAGTCCGGCTTTGTTGTCTCGCTCCATGTTGAAACAGAATAGAAGGACCTCTTCTAACTCATGCAAAAAGGTACCTGAAACACGTTAAAGAGGTATAATAGCGGATTGGGATGTAAAAACTAGCCTAGTGAGATAAACGCTAATGGCTTATAATGTTGGAGCAATGAATCGACGGAAGTCGTCCAAGCTTGTCAGGCTCTACTCTAAGCTTAAGTCCAAAAAGACTAAATATAGGAAGCTAACCAAGCTGCATACATAAAACGACCGCCAAAAGCCCACGGTTACCCCTGGTAAAGCCTGGCAGCAGCCCAAGCTCTATAAACCGTGACGGGCCATACACGATGCCCCTGGCTGATGTCTGGGATCGTTCATGGTCGGATCTTGGACACCCCTTGCTGGATCAAGCTAAGCCTCAGGAAATCTTGAACGAAGAGCAGAAACAATTCATCAACTCGCTATCGGCTAAGCTGACACTCCTGCATTCGCCGTATACCGGCAACGTCAGCAGAGGCATGTGGGACATCAACGAACCCCCGAAGTCGGTTTCATTTACGACCTGATGCCCCGCGGGTTGTGAAGGATACAGTCTGCAAGAAGTCCAAGCTGATCCGCCTGGGGCTTGGAAGTCGAGCTGACTATCCCCGAGGTGGTCCCTTCGACCGCGGTCAAGAATGTCACACCGGCAGCCATGAACTTGCCCCTCAAGACCGTGGCAGGCGATAGCAACAAGATGGTCTTGACAGGCGGTGCTGATGGGTTCCCTATCCTCGTAGGGGGTCTCGCGGACATGATTTAGTAAAAGTGCTTTTTCCTTGAACCACTCTGGGCGCACGTATGAATGTGCAAGAAAAAGTATGCACAGAAGATGATAGGTCGATATCTTAGTTTGTCTACGCGGCTCTGCGCCGTTGACTTTATATCGTTAGTAAGAGCACATAGAGTCGTAATCTCCTACCCCGTACTTCCTATTATACGAGGAGTGGTGATGTCGGCCGTTGGGAAGTCTAGTAGATAAAAGTGAGTTTTGATGTTGTTAGTTGTCAAACAGGGCTATGAATTCTCTAGTGCATCAAGTTATGCGATTTTTAAATATTGTAGTTTCTTGACGTCTTAATGCTTAGCTAAACATTACTATATAGATGAGCTTAAAGGTGTTTTGTTATTTTCACTTAAAAATTACAAGGAAAACATAATCAACTTCACAAATGATAATGATAGTAAAAATTAAAAGAAATATAACAGGATGTAATACTCGAGTCTGGAGTAAATAAAAGTAAAGAAAAATAAGCAGACAAAAGGCATTACATAATAAGCTCTTATTCCAGGTAGTGCTCTAGGAAACCGAGCAAGCTTTAGTTTTAGGGAAAATAGTTTCGCAAGTCAAGAAGTAATAGACAGTGAGAAGCGAATGAGAGCAGCAGTGGATGTCTATGCATTTGCACCATCAAACCAAGTGTAACCAAGTGTAGCCAAATCTGCCTCGGCACAGCGCTATTTGGCGATTGCATCTCTAGACGATCCACCGCCTCCAAATGAAACAATGCGCCCAAGATTCGGGAGTCCGATACTGTGTACAAGCCTCTATGGACCCTACAATAGCCGAAAGAAAGCTATAAAAGGGGACGGAATGCCAGTCTTGTAGGTCCAGAACTGACGGGGACTTTGCTCTTCAAACATGTCCTATACTACATGCGCGCCTGTATACTACCAATTCATCTCTGCGGACCCCTAGGTTCACTCACCTCTATGGATTAAACATTCACCATCTTTTGTACTCCTAATACGAGATCCTCCCTTTTTTCGCTACAACCGCATCCAAACGCGAGCAAGAGAACGTCATCCTCTCGTCAGCTTGACTCTACAGACTACGACCTTGGCATATTTCCCTTTTTAGAAGATTACAACGACATGATTCCATCTTCCAATAGCAAAATTGCCTCACTGGACTCCCTCAATTTTCTCCTACTAAAAACCATTCATATTAGGGAGCATTCAACTTGTTGGCTTGTGGCCGCCAAGACCTACAAACAGTTCCTGTTTGCATCGTCCAACAACAACCACATCCGACCATCTACACGTCCAGTCTCAGGTCTCCGTCCTCCTCCGACACGGCACGCATCTGCCTGCGACCATCTCCCAGTGACAAGGAGCGGAAGCGCATCTTCATTTCTTCAAGGGAAAGAAGCATATCCCTATCCTCCGGGAGGACACCGATGCTTACACCAAATGAATACAGCCTCTCTACCTCGGTAATCATTCTCTCAACTTTTGTGCAGCTGGCCGGTCTGCTCCGGGTGCCCACGCCGGTTACCCTCTGCCTTTTCCCTAGCCTCTCGTCATTAGACGAGTCCGTTTCGCTCAGTCGCTAGCATCGTTGGTCAGCAGGCACGCGGTTCATGTAGGAGCATATATCCGTGGAAGGCTTGCCTTGCTTTTCGGCATCCTCGTGTCGTCCACGCATTCCAGCTGTCTGGGCGTTGCCTGCGGCGTCATCCCCATGTATTGTGTCCTGGCTGTCGACACTGGCCGGGTCTGTCTAAGGCCATGCGCCGCGTCCGCCGTGGCCTCTCCGTCTTCGAGGCGCCGAGACGGAGGAGAAGCCGTGCTTGTCGCCTCGATTCGTTCTACGGAGAAGCGTCCAGTCTCCATACGGGGCATTTCCTCGGCCGCGGCCTCTTTACCCGACGACGATGGCAGGATGAATGTATCCGCGGCTTCTGAAGGCTCGCCGCTTTCAAACGGGAACGAGTACATCAACGGGTACTCTGGTCCCTTTGGCGGATAGAGCATGGGGTCCGATGCCTCCCTGCTTTTGCTCTCTTTGTACCGGACGGTCAGGGGCAGCGTCGTGTGGTCTGAAAGCACGTCCATGGGGGACTCTGGCATCTCAAATTGGTACTGGTTAGATGACTCGCAAAAGACGGCGCCTTTGGCTGCGACCTTGCCATCCCAGGCAGCCTGGTTCTCTTTCTGGAACTGGGAGACCACAACGGCGGCGGCAGCGGCGGAGGGAACCTGAGCCTGTCCATGGTTTTCTATCGACGAGGCGTCTCTCGTTGGTCTCTCTGGGGCTGTCAGGGAGACGTCAAATACCTGTGAGGCCTGTTCTTTGCGATGTCCTGTAGTAAAGTGGTAAGCGCTGATATTTGTCTAGTTGGCTGTCCGAAGGGCAAAAAAAGGAAAAAGAAGAGGCCCAAACAAAGCAACAAGGAGCACCGGCTGCCTCTCCTAGAAACATACTGTAGCGCCGTTGTGACTCTCTATTTTGGAGTCGCCTCCTGTCATACTGCGCCTCGTCTGATGCTGGCATGTCTCGACTATCGTATGCAGACCGGGCTTGTTTGGAATTAGGGTTCGTGGGCATGGAATAAACTTGTCATGCTGGGGTTGGGGAAGCGTTGCGCGAGTTGATTTTTCGTCAAGGCCCTTTTCTTTGTTTTCCAAGATTCCTGCCAGTGCCTTTTCTATCGCCCATGTTCCCCTTTTCCTTTTCTTTTCCCCTTCTTCTCACAAGCAACTCATGAGGAGGATGGTGTTGAGCTCGAAGAAATGCCAGCGCAGCACGAGGATCCATAGCTACCTAGATTGGTGATACTTCACATAGAGGATCGTCTCGGCTATCATCCACATTCCAATTACGACTGCTGGCATCTGATAACAATTCCTGTCCTGAAACATGTTGCACACCTACCAGCCAATCAAGATCTGACATGCCAAGGAGCACGGCGTAGCATACATAATGCGACCTTGTCGATTTGTGGCAGTTGCAACATCTACCAAGATGAACAGAGCAAAAGCAACCTTAGCAATCCCTGTTTCTTACCTGTCATCATACAGAGCGGTGCTGCCGCGGAGCAAAGGCGCCGTAGGCTTGCACGTGTCAATGCCGGCATGTATCGTGCGGGCTCCAAGTTTGGAGACAAGTCTGGAGAATTGAATCGAACAATGGCACCCACCTCATGGGAGGTTCCATTTGTGACTTGTAACTACCTTGGGGGAAGATAATATCTGAACATGATGAATTTAATATCCGCTCTGATTGACCCAAGCATCACGAGGATTCTGACACGCAACAGGCGGCACAACAACTTTAGGTCATGGATTGATTTTTTGTGTTGCTTCACTGGGGGCCGAGATGGTAGCAGTAGTATTTCATGATCGCTTGCAATATGTCCCTGTTGGCCGGTAATTTTCTTTTTTAAGATTCTATCTCTTGACCTCATGCGCGTGTACTCCATCGTACGGAAAATGACGGCAGCGAAATCATCAACTGTCTCACAAGATCAGCGCAGTCATTGTGGATTCACCCGATGGCGTTTTACTCGTTACGTACAAGCCCTCCACCCTGTCTGCCAACTTTGGAAGGTAGTTTAGAGCCCCCCAGTCTCGTCTCATAAGGCTTGCTTGTGTCCAAATCAAAGCCGCCGACCGGTACAGCTTCCGATTCGACGGTGTTGTCTGGCCCAGGTGGTCTTGGCGAACACGCCCATGGTTCGCAGATTGCGGCTGCTATTCCCGGGAACGTGGAGAGACAAGGGCCAGTTTCCAAGTTCAGACCGAAGCAGCCTAAGCCGCGACGTTGCTCGCCTCACCGGCAAACAACGGTGCCAACATGCTGGTCTTGAACCATTGCCTGTCCCTCGCCCATCCCTTGAGAACAAAGTCCCTTCCCAGTGTCAAGGCCGCGAGCACGCGCTCCAGTGGGTACGGCAGTGGAGCATTTCGATCACGCCTGTAGTACCAGCAGATGAGGTGGACGCCGGCGTGGATGGCGGTTGTAAAAGCCAAGTCGTCGCCAAGCGAACCGTATCCTGACATGAACCCCTGCATCATGGGAATGCTGGCTTGCACGCCCTTGAAATGGTTGCGCTCGTAGATATCTGCCAGCATCCCCCCAATGTCCACCGCCCGGTGGCCAAACTGCGTATTCTCCCAGTCAATGATGAAGAGCTCATTGGGCCCCTCGTCTTCTCGTGCTGCCTCACGCCAGGGGACATTTTTGAGGAGAACGCTGTTGTTTCCAGTTAGTAGAAGAGTCTGACAGAGATGCCACGGCGGGCCGCATCTGCGACTTGAGAGAAGTTCAAAATACTCACTTGCCTGCCCAAAAGTCCCCGTGTATGAGCCCGCGGTTCTCATCGGGCACCGGGTCTCTTTCAAATTCCGTCTTCATTGCATCCCTGACTTCTTCCAGGGGCTTCCTGCAGCCATCCAAAAGTTCCGGATGGCGCTCGAGGATCTCAATGAAGCTGTCATAGGTAATGAGACACTTGAGCTTTCGCATGCCCATGTTGGACCCGACCTCCTGCAGTGCAGCCTGACCAGGTGCAGACGCCCAGTCGTGGAACGACCGAAGCCAGGTGCCCAAGGCACGGCCAACGGACAGCGCACTCGACCCGGGCAAGATGGTATTGACGTCGGAGGACTCCAAAATAGTAGTCAGGTCGGTAGTATCCGGAAAATCCTCGAGCACCTGCGTGTGCGACTCTTGGTCGAACAGGTAGAGACACGGCGCCTTGACCACGACGTTGCCACTGGCGGGAGCGAATGACGCAGCATTGGCCAAAACACGAAGCGTGGATTCTTCAAAGACGCACCGCGTAATGTCGAGAGGGAAGTCGCGATTAATGGCGACAAAGTCGGTGGACCGCTTGACCACAACCGTCTTGGCTGGCTGGTCGTCGTGATGCTGAGGCGCAAGAGGCTTGAGAAGGGTGCCACGGTAGAGAAAATTGGCCGTGCCGCCACTCAGTTGATCAAGGGACGAGCAGGCATACGGCGTGGTCGATAGTTGTTGTAGAACTTGCTTGGCGAGGGCTGTTTGCTCATCCTGGGTGAGGGGCGCCATTTTTTGCCAATGGAAATGGTAGCGTGTGATGGTTTGTTGGAGCAGAATTCGAATGTTGCTTGGATTGATGCGTTTGGTGAAGGGCAAGAGCAGAGACGAGTAAAAAATTGAAAGAGGTTAAGGGGAGAAGCGAGGCTGACGAGTGACTACCAGTCGTAACTTTTGTAAGGTTTAGTTGGGATAACGTTTTGGCGACGGACGAAACGAACAAAGCTGTGCTGTGCTAACCTGGCTTCTCACGCTCTCACTCTCTCTGGCCGTTTTTTTTCTCTTTTTGACAAAAGCCCTCTTCTCACACTCTCTCCACCAATAAGCGTATACTCACATAGGAATCAAAACGAGTAAAATTGCCGGTGGCAGAACAAAGGGATCAAAGTGGTCGTACAGTGACGAAGTCTGTCGTCGGCCATAGCTTATTGCCCCACTCGTGAAGTCTTGGGACCAGGCACTGGGCAGCGTCGCAGCTGCTGGACGGACAACCCAGTAGATACCAGACAAGATGTGTCCCGTGCTCAGACGTTGTCGAATTGACATTTTTGCTACCAATTTCTTGCTTCAACTTCGCACGCTTAGTCATACTGCGCCATTTTGCTCTTCACGTCTCCCCAACCCGGTGAAATAATACAAATATCTCGACGTATAGAACTTGACTGCAAATTCAACAAAACATCGTGGCTATTTTGGCCAACGCTAATATCTACTTGAACTAACAGTATCTTGAAATCTCGTTCAAAGCAGTGTAGGAATGGTCCACCTTTGCGATCTTTGCGTATTTTTCGTCAGAATTACAACCTAGAGCCGATCTAGAGAAATGTGCCAACGAAAGAACATATCCAAAATCAGAAAAAAAAAACATAAATCAGAGCAGAGGAACCAGCTACCAACTGTACGGCGCGTTACTTGTGGTATGTGCTGCACCTACGCCGTCGCACGGCCAAACACCATGTTCATACAACTTCTCTCCAGCACCACCTGCAGCTCTGCTCAATATTACGGCAGCCACAGGCTGATTACCCAAATAGCAAAAAGGACAAGCTGCTGACGCTACCACCAGGGATGTCTACATACAATATGTAGTAAGCCCCCCATTGTTTCATGTAGCCGGAGCGGCTGGTTTCTGTACCGGAAAGCACCGGTCTGGTGAGACAGGCTGAAAGCCAGCATGGTCAGTCACATATCTGTTTTTTCTCTCTTTGTTTGAGCAGCCCACATTATACACGTACATTATTACCCCACCATCGGGGAAACACTGCGTTGGCGAGGTTGAGCGTAAACATGATGACCGTCTGGGTCATCTGTGCACCGGTGTCGAGCCCGCAGGCCAGGAGATAGTTGTACTTGCGGAACCACACAGGGCGGTATCGCAGCATGTAGCCCATAAAGACAAGAGACAGGACAAATGAGGTGAACAAGTTGGCTGTCTGGAAGACGGGGAACCAGGTGGCGCCCTGCATGATTACGACGGGGTTGCACCGCGTCTCGAGCTGCCATTTCGGCCTCAACCTATGAGCGGCATACACGATGACGACAACAGCCGGGCCCAGCAGAAAAGACCAGTAGATCCACCGGTATTGCGAATGCGGGGAGAGGATGGCTTGCGGCCCAAGGACACCCCAAAGCACCGAGATGGAGTAGTAATTCTTGGACTTCAAGGCCAGCCACGAGTTCGAGTGCCGCGCGCCGATGAGAACCGCCTTGCCGATGCGGTCGATGACGAGGCGCATAACGGCATAGTTGACAAACGGGCCAACAAGTGTTCCGTATATTTGTGCGCAGAACATTTCCTTCTCGGGGATTTTCATGTACTTGACACCACGATTAACATGGGGAGCCGCAAGAAAGAATCGGAAGACTTGGCTGACGACATACAAACCCAAACTTGTAATCGCTTAGTAGATTCAGATTCTGGCCATGGTCTCAGTATCAGCCACAGCCTTGATAGAGGGACGCTCGTATCAAAAAGTCAAGACCCGGCCTACCTGCTCGAGAACCATACGCCCGTACGTCAAGCTTGCGAGCACGGCGCTGGGGTTGCCACGGAACAGCGCGCCAGCGACAATCTCGGACAGGAACGACAGATCAACCTGCATGTTTGCTATGCCAAACAAGACGCCGTTTGGAAAGGTAAAGATCGTCGACATGGCGGATATAACAAAGAACCCCCACCACGGGAGGCCCAGGTCGGCGCCGTAGAGACATACTAGAGATAGACATGTGCAAACGATGAGCAGACAGACATACCACCAGTGAGGCACGCGCGCCGCGCTACTCATCAGCCTAAGATACGGGTCGTCTTCGTAGTCGCTGCGCACGCCCGTGAACGTGTTGATGGCAGCCCTCAGCGCGTCCTTGCCGTGCCAAAGAATTGCGAATGCAATCGCGGCTGTCGAGCACGCAAACCCCCAGAAGAAGTACATTACATACGAGCCAGACCAGTAGAGGTCCGAGTAGGCCTCCATGACCGTCTTGTTGAGTGTTTGGCCGCCGGAGAGCACACGGCTGATGTTGTAATCGGCACCCGACTTGTCGAATGTGCCCGACGACATGGCTGGAAACCTTTGGCTGCCAAGCACGTTGGCGAAGAACATGATGGGATACAAGGCCCAGCAGACGATGAGAGCTCCGGCCATTTGCGAAACGTTGGACCACAACGGCGTCACCAGGGGCCGAAAGAAGCCCGCGTAATTCCAGTCCAGTGAAACGTTCAACACACCGAAGCCCGAGTATCCGGAGCCGAGATTGAACCCAGTCCAGCTGTTTTGAGCCATGTAGCATAGCAAAGCCAAGGAGGAGAGCATCGCTGCAGAAAAACAAAATCACAAGGTTAGTCTAGCGCAGTCAACTGATACGGGATATCAGTCACGCGTAGCCACTCACGGCATATGACGCCCGGAATCCATTGCCAACAGAAGGTGATGCAGGATACGTAGGCAAAGAACTTTAGGTATTTGTTGTGGGTGACGAGAGACGTCGAATGCATGGCGTTGAAGAGGGCGACGTTGGGAAGCACGCCGGGATAATAGAACTTGGGAGGCCGCACGAGAATGTCCCGGAACAAGCCGGCACATCCGTAGCCCATCAATTGCGACGTTAGAAGAAAGAGAATTCCGTATCCTGGGCTGACTTTGCGGTCAAAATACAGCTCAAGGGCAGAAAGGGGTCCAAGTCCAAACGCCGTCCGGCTCTACAAGGCAGTCAGTCAGTCTTGCGATCTTTGAACGGCGACAACGAGAACAGACCAGGAGCCAGTCAGTACTCACGCTACCCCAGTAGGCAACAATAATCAAAGCGTGCTCCTTCGCATTCCATGGCCCGGGGTTGAGGCTAAAGGACTTGTTGCAAACGACCACCTTCTTGGACGGCAAGGTCCGAGCCATGAAGTCCCCCATGGCCCATGACAGCAACTGGACAATGTAGCTGGATAGTGTGGAGGAATAAGGCTTGAAGTAGTAGATGGTCGACACGGCATCGCCTACAATGACCCAGAAAGTCGACAAGACCCAAAAACGAAACGTCAGGATGGGCTCGTTTGGGTTATTGCGCAAGTCAACAGTCTTGGCGACGAGCAGCACCGGATACGTCCGGAGACGCGGGTCAGAGAACTCGGCCGTGTCATCTTCTTCCGAGACTGATCTCAACTCAGAGATGCTCGACTGCGCAATGGCTTCGGCAGGGGACGACCCCTTTTCACTAGAAGCATCGGCTACTGCCATGGCAGGAATATGGGACGTGGTATTCGGGCCGGGTCTGTTGAGGGCTATATATGAGTTGGCAATAATTGCTAGACAACAGCCATGATAGCCCAAGACATTATGGCCAAAGCTGCCGTGCAGGGCAGCAGAGCCCATGGATATTTATATGCTTTACTATAGCAAAACCAAGCATGCGTCACTCGGTATTGTACTCCATTGTAACCCCGAGCATCCATTCGCATCCACTAGAGCCTGAATACGCAGGTTACATGCGGCAATAGCCAAGGGAGAGTCTGCTTGCCGTGGGTACTGATTACTTTCTAACGATTCTGCAGCATTTCCATCAACTCCATATCCCAACCCATCCGCAGTCACGGCCTCAACAGGCTACAAAAGAGCACAGTGATGTGCATGTTTCCTTCAACTAATAAAAGAGAAAAATCTTTTGTCACGTCTCTCTCTCAGACACTTATCTTGCCGCCATTCAACTAGTCTTCTACTTGTGCCAAGTGGCGTTATAGACTCGTTCCTGGTCAATCTGAAACGCCCGCAGGGCCTCAAAATTGATACAGTCGTGCTCGATACCCCATCCCGTGACCGTAGACGCCTCTCCAAGCTGCCCGTCTACAACGAGAGGAGAGTGTCCCTCGACGGCAAACCCAGAGCCGCAAGAAATCGCCTGCCTCAGATACTCAAAACAGTGGTCAATGTGTGCGTCCCAGCTCACTTCCGGATACAGACCAACAACGGGATGGCCCTGTTTCACTTGCCAGTAGTGAAACCGCACGATATTCTGCCACACATGGTTGGCATGGAATTCAGGCCATGATATCAAAAAAGGGCAAACTCACCAGACAGTGCAACTGATGGAGCAGCGAGACGACGTAGAATTTCCGCGGAACGGGACTCGCCATGTTCTCGTGATGAAAGGGAGGACCGCTCCCTTCTATGTATCCATATTTCTCAGGATTTTCGATATACAAGGCGTCGTGGGCTGGTGCGTGCATCTCAGCATCAAAAAGATCTACTCGGGGGGGCATTGGTACTGGGTTACCTGCAACTAGGTGATCCCAGTTCTGGTGAGTCTGATTTGACGGGCCAATGTATCGCTCGTCAGGCAGAAATACTCTTTTTACGCGGGAAAACACCTCTGGCGGGAAAGGATGGGGAGATGAAAGGCCGGGTATATCAATGACTCGAGGATGATGGTACAGATTGACAGCCACGAACCAGCCAGACGCAAGCAGGGCGAGAATTCCGTAGTAGAGTATCATGCGGAAATTGCAGCTACGCTGAGGGGGGACATAAATGTCCTCCATTTCTCGACTCTCGTCATCCGACTCCCGAGCTGGAAGTGATGTGAAGGACATGTCGTCGTGTTTCATGATGTGGAACTGACGGGCTTGGCAGTAACAAGTAAAGGCTGAAAATTTGAAGAATAAAGATTTTTGGAAGCGTATGAGATATCTGGCAGGTACCCTTCTGTCGATAAAAGGTGGTATCCTTGTTGCACTCAGCGAGCGGGAAAGACGACGGCTCATGCTGGATTCCCATGCTCCAGTTCCAATGGCAGTCGACGAGTGACAGTGAGAGTACGTCGTTTGATGCCACAGGCTCCAAGCCGCATGTGACACTAGGTGTCATCATTTTGCGTTTCCAGAGCAGTAAGTAGTACTCTGGTTTGCACTGTGAAAGCAGACTCGTTAGGCATTCTCATCTTGCATTGTGGCCTTGCCCATGCAACTCCACGCCCCCCGTCTCTGGTTTCACACAATTTCTGAGCAGAAAAAGCCTTTCTGAGTCAATTATCCAGTGGTACGCAGTAATACCTCCATCTACTGGGATAGTTTATCTTCTTCCATCTCTAAACACACTTTCAGCACATCACAGACCATCACAATTCAGACTTTTTGGCCACACTTCCGTATCTCACAATGACTTACTCAGACAACCTTGATTCTCCCAGTGAGCCTCCCGGATACACCGCAAAGTCCGATTTCAATCACGGTGACACTATGGAGGATGAGTCTCTTCTCCGGATTATGAGCCAGAGGGATTCTCGTCCCAAGTCTAGGCGATGGTGCCCAAACTTGGACATGAAGCATTGGCTGGCCATCAACCTGGCCTTCACATCCTTCAATCTGGCCGTTGTTTTGGTTTTGGCTGTGCTTTGGCGGAGTGAAAGGCTCACTCTGAGGCCGGCATCGTCGTCGACAGTGTCTCTTCTCCCACCATGTCAGTTCCGAGCTGTTTGCTTCAAATGCAGCATCAGGCAGACTAACCCCCCTGATCGACAGCCCCAGCAACTGTCGCTATTGAAAAGGAACTTCGTCCTTTCTCGCTGACCTCGCCATATGACAAGCCCCCGGGCCCAGAGACGGATCAGCTGTGGCATGATCTTGTGAATAGTGAGTGTATGACGAGCGTATGAAATGGGCTCTATCGTGCTAATCCTTCCATCGGTTAGCCGGGGCCATGTTTCCCCTCAGCGAGGAGCAATTCTCGGAAGTCAATGACAACATCGAAACCGGTATTAGATATACCCACGACCCCCAAGGGCGATTCCTGGGAACCTTGGCCGCAACCCACCAGATTCACTGCGTGGTAGGCAACCTTGTCACAAGCAGAGTTCCCCCCTGGTCGTTTGTGCTAATACGGGGTTTCCCAAAAATACAGGACGCTCTTCGCAAAGGCCTTTGGTTTCATTACGAACACTACAGGGCAACAAACGACCCTCTGTTCATCGATAAAGATCCCCCCGAGGAGCACCTGAGTAAGCCGCCCAAGACGTCACTTGATCGGCGACGGAAATCTAACATGAGCAGTGCACTGCGTCGAGATGCTACGAAACGCAGTCATGTGCTTTGGCGACGTGTCCGTCATCACGTACAACTGGAAGAAGGGACACGATGCTCCCAAGGGCAGTTTCAAGAGCCTCCACGCCTGCCAGAAGTGGGACAAGATCGAGGACTGGAGGGCAATTCACAACATCACCGAGGAAATCAAGACGCTGGAAAGACCTATCGGAATATTTGACGAGGACACGGCAAAACATGCGCGCGCTTCCAACGTGGACGCCATGGCGGAGCGCGGGTAGTCGACTCCTGGATGGCTTGTGTTTTGTTGCGAGGATGACTTGACTGGGGGCAGAAAAGGCTTTGTATTGTTTGAATCTACAACTTGAATTGCCCTAGCACGGATCACGAGAAGCTTGCTAGGTAAACAAGCCGTTTGCTTGGGCAGTGACTGGCACTGTAGGTCTAGGATAAATGACTCCTTTGCTACCAGATTTCCGTTTATTCCCCGTCCATACAACAAGTTGTTGACATTGTATGCCAATATATTAATTTATTGAGAAATAAAAAATAAAATAAAAAAGGGCTAGACGCAGGACATGTAGTAACACTGTATTTTGGCCGTGCCTAGGACAGGCAACCGTAACTAACCACGCAACACACCATGAACGCATCGCGATGCGTCAGACACGCTAGCCGTATGCCAATGTATACATGACGAATGGCCGGAGCAAGATACTGGCTTGGTGTGAAAAATCATGCGTGTGAACAGCGCTGTACACCGAGTTGGGTGGACGGGAGGCCACCAGTTCCATGCCAAACTAAACGCATTCGATGTGGGAAACCGACACAACCCTTTGGTGTGTCATTTCATGCACGGAATTCGCTGTACGCTGTAAGCTTGCATTGTGTTGTGCGCGTCGGTACAATTACATGCATATTTCCCATCCCACGCGATGCAGGCTTATATCAGGTTGCATTCAAGGAAACCAGAACGTGCCGTTCGACTCATCGTGCCGCCATCAGGTTGGCACAATGCAGCGTTGGCGGCACCATGCCAACACCAACGTCATCCGGCGATGTACTTGTGACGAAACTGGTCTGGTGATGGAAAAGCTGGGCTTCGCGGATACGCAGGGGCTCACGCAGAGAATCACGAATGGCCAACGGGGCCCGGTAGATACGGCAGGCACCGAGCGATGGTTACGAAACGTGCTTTTTGGATTCACTGCCTCGAGATATCTATTCAGGAGTTTTCAACCCATTTCCGACACGTCAGGGTGGCGAGTCAAGCGCCCTCGCCCCCGCGGGCTTCAGTGGTATCATGGGAGTGCCTTGGGGCATCTGGTGATCCACGGTCCACTGCCATATCCCGTCAAAGTCTCGACAAATCTGCCTGGTGTTGAAGTCGGGCCAAGGCCGCGACCGCTGCTGTATCCAATGCGCCGTCACCAGTCCGACGTCTGCGTGGCACATGACGAACTGGCGCAGCATCTCGACACAGTGATCTGCCATGCCTAGCGTGAGCCCGTCGTTTTTGGTCCTTAGGTTTTGTTTGCCAAAATTTGGACTGGCGAGATGGTACTTACCAAGGTGTATCTTGAATGTCTCCTCTTTGTCTTTAAAGTCGGGGTCGTGGACCCTGTAGTAACTGTATTTGAAATGGGAAGCTTTCCGGAGCAAGTTCTATTTGACGCGTTAGACTATGACATTTCCCGTCCTGGCGAAGCAAGGGCCTGCTCACGACACAGTGAAGCTAGAATAGCGACGAGGCGTCAGCCAACACATGCCGAGTAGGACACGGCGCGTGAGCATACTTGATGGGAGAACTCGGGCTGCAAAAAGTAGCCGCCTCCGAATTCCGGCGGATTCGTAGCCGCCGTCTCGGGGCTCTTGCCGACCCTCAGGAACTCTTCTTCTGTCAGTTTGATGTCCAATGGGCGGACTGTTTGCCTTTGCCGTCAGCTTCGACCCTCGACGGTGTTGTGCGGTAACCTACACATTGATATCTTGTCCCACGCCTTGTCGACATCTGGACTTGGGGGACCTCTGTAGGGAGACGGCCAACGAATGGAGCCGTTTCGCGTGGTCTCAGACAATGTGTATGGGACTTGCCCAACAAGTGGCGCTTTTGCGCAGACAGTTAGTTAGATATTCGTCCACGGACTTGCGAGGGCAGCCCCCTACAGTATGCGGACGTGTCGCGAAAGCATCTGTTCTTCAAGCCGTGGTCCTGGTACCAGATCAGCCAGATCAATACTATGATGAGGCAAACACATAGCGTCGGCCAGCTATATTTGAAAGGGGTGCAGCCGTCTTCTTTTCTCGGCACAATTGCCCTCAACTGGCCGTCGCAGCGAGGACAATGCTGTGGTTTCAGCCTGGCTGACTCCTCATCATGGCCGTCGTCGCTGTCGGACTCGAACCTTTTGTATGTATCGCGGGAAGGACTGGGGTGACAATAGAGAGAAATGGGATGAAACTTTCTCAGAAACCACTCTGAAAGGGGTGAGAACATGGCTTTGTATACAGGTTTGTCACCGTGTGCTTGATATGCTTGGTGTGTTTGAGGCGGAAAAGCCGACATGTCGGTTTTGGGGGGGCTGTTGTTGGTGGGCATGCAGAGCAAATATACTAGGAGCGGCTCTACATGGCAGAGTTACTGTCATGTGATACAGTGCCAGGAGCTCAAACATGTCACTGGAAAGCAACCAAGGCTTGCTGAACGGCATGTGTGTACATTTTCGGGCGTATGCGGGCATCACTGGCTCGCATCAGCTCGTTGCCGGGCTGCCAGATAGCCCTCCAAGGAAATCCACCAAAGACTACATATGTACTTTTAGTTATCTAAAGAGCTTCCATGGCTAGTTAGTGGCCGGGGCTCTGGATAGTTTGGATATTTCTGCAGTCAAATTCGTGGGTTTCGTCGGCAGATAATGCGGTTAACTGGTGTCTAATACCGAGCAAAATAGGCTTGTCACGTTGATGATGGATCGTATATCGTAACCTATTGGTGGTCTGTGAGCGAGCCGTAGGAAGAGCTAGCTGGAATAGAGTCGAAACTTCAAGTGGAAAATATCCCGGGTGGTGCCTACGTGGTTGAGCAGTATTTACTGAAAATACAGACAAGAGTAATATATCGGTTTTAGCGGCCATCCAAGAGAAATTCGACATCTCCAAGACTTTCAAGATTGTCTAAAACCGTCCAGAGTGTCGTAGAACGGCTTTTGACCAAATCAGATACTTTGATAAATGGCATTCAATCATTGTAATCGAGCAATACCGACGTCACTGGACAAGTACAGAAACACTTTTCCCGGTCTTCTTCGCACCGCAGTAGATTTGAAATAAGCAGGTCAATCTTGAATCTCTGCTAAAAGAAATTGCAAGCACGTAAGGAATGTAGTGATGCAGCGCGCCTGCAAACGAGGGAACTGGGAGGATACCACTGACTCCTGAGCTCACCAGCCCATTTTCCCATCAACTCATTTCGCCGGAGCAATGCTCTCTCCCAGCTTGCGTCTACTCATCGTAGCCGTAGCTTTGCCAAACGCCGTCCAGCGCAGTGAAGAGTCCCGCGTCGACTTCCTCAGTTTCCTTGTCAGCAACAGCTCGCTTCCCCTCATCCATAACATCTCGTTCCATGACGACGCTTGCCGCAACTTCGCCGTCCTTCTTCACTATAGTACGACATGTTAGCAGGTTTCTTGACTGCAAATAACAAAAGATTCAATTTACATGGGACAGCGGATGCCGACATGACCAAAACAGCGGCGAGGAAAATCGTATTGAAATGCATGGTGGTGGATGTGGTTGGGAAGGCTTGGTAGCTTGTGCCGAGCGTATGAGCTGCTTATGATTGATGAGTGGGAAAATCAAATCTCAAGTCAATTGCTACGAGTGCCGTGAACAGGACTTGGATGCCGACGATGCTGGCTGGTGGTGGTTTATGATGTGTTTGTGCTCTGCCTCGTCACAAGCCGGGGCATACCGAGCTGACGGGGTGAATCATGCCAACCCCCTCCAAGTTTCCGCCGCCAGCGCTGCATTACTCTCATGCAGGATGACCCGGCTAGATTTACGAGGAAGTTGCGTTTGTGGCACGGGAGGTGTCCTGGCTTGAAGACTCCAAGTCATCACGCATCCTTGTGGGTTGCGTGGCATTCCAGTCAACGCACGTCAGCAATTCTGCGAGCCTTGGCTCAGGGGCCTGCAAGGTGCTAATCTCGGCTGGCATTTCTGGCATCTGAGGTGAGAACCAAATGCCTGGAGGCCAGCGTTAATCAAACCCTTCGGGGACAAGGTTTACATGTGACGAGACGATGCTTGGAAGCGTGGCGGACTCGAACCGCACCAACATTGCTGAAACAACTCCATCCCGATGGAATCACCACAAACAATGGTCGACTATAGTTTCCAGCCCCTTGGTCTCCATTCAACAAGAAGAGACGGCTTTGATATGGGTCTTGGAGAGAAGACGCCGTACCGTCCCCTTGGCCCCGACGGCTCAGACAATGCAAGTTTCCCATGTAATCTCAGCGGCGAAGACGACCTCGACAAGACCGCCTCACAGTCTTGTGGAAAATGCCTTGTTGCGGTTCTTTGTCTGCTTTTGATTGTCACCAACGTCATATGGGCTGCGTACGCATCTTCAGGCCCGCCATGTACGAGTATACAACAAGAAAATAGCTGTACGTACAGCGCCAGAGCCGTCTGCACCAATGATGACTGAAAGTGGTAGACCCCCCTTCCCGTACAATACTGCAGCCGATTTATCAAGATACAGAGTTCAACGAGGAGGGCGAAAACAAGGACCGGGCAGACAACCTGTGGCAGGGTCTCTTTCCAAGTAAACACGAGCCCACTACATGAGGCTTTTGCAGCTAGTACTGACGAGTGAAACAAAAACCAGCTGGAAACGGAGTCGTTTCCTTGAAGAAATCGGAAGCCCAGGCACACGGTCTTCATGAGACGGCAGCCGACCCGCTGGATGAAGAAAACGGCGTGTACATTATCGCTGGGTTTCATACGATGCACTGCGTGGTACGCCTGTCTGATGATTTATTTTCCCCAAATACCAAAATCTCGCTAATACTCTCGACTGTAGACGGTGCTTCGCAATTCGCTTTGGTATTATCGCCGAGGGGAGGAGCAGACGGCCCCCTGGAGTCACATTGTGCATTGCCTGGATATGATACGGCAGACACTGATGTGTAACATGGACACGACTCTGATGTGGCTTCACGATCCGGATACCTTTGCCGATGGACAGTTGCATGTCTGCAAAGACTATTGGCAGCTCCATCAATGGGCAAACCAACACCCCGGATGAGTTGGCAGCTTCGAAAGTTATGGATGATTATATTGAGGCTAGTCTCGCATTTTTTGAATTTTTTTAGTTTTCCATATCGTCTATGTACGTAGTCTTCAATCTGCTTTTAAGTTTTACAAGACACAATTTTTCACCAAGGAGATTTGGTCCCAGAAAAGTCTTGTACAAGTTCAACGGCTTGATTTCTCAACGTGGTGGTCCCCCCTTCATACATCCACACCAGCATCACCCCCTTGATCCGTCTCCAGTCTCAAAAAGTGCCCTCGTACGCGTCTAGCTGCTGCTTCTGCCACGCCATCAAAGAATCCCAGTTGACACATTGCCGAATACCTCCCCAGCCGAGGGGATGATCAAACGGATCCCGCCGCAACTCGTCCGGCGTTCCCGGAGGACTGTTGGGCTCAATGACCCAGTTTCCGCCGCACATGATGGTCATGCGGAGGTACTCGATGCAGTGGTCCATGTGGTAGGCGGTGTCTTGCGCGGCCCTCTCCGATTGCTTCGACAGCGTCGAGAGATGGAGCTGCAGCTCAAAGTAGCGGCCTCTGATGACATTCTGGGTCGTCGAGACGTCAGCAAAACAAAGAAGCAGACGGGGCTCGGCCGTGCTTCCTTACCAAGCAGTGCAGTTGATGCAAGTTGGAGACATGATAAAACTGAGGCGGCAGCTGCGACTTGGATGTGTGGTTGAATGGTGCCTCGAAGCCCGGTCCCAAGCCATGGGCAGACGGGTTCGCGATCCAGACGCTTTCCGTTGCTACACGGGCTCAGTTAGCAGCGAGCATGAAGAGAAGATACGGCGGGTGCATTACTCTTGATGAGTCTGTGCCACATGATGTTGCTAAAGTTTGAGAAACCGATGTATCGACTGTCGGGAACCCACGCCGTCGGAATCGGAGGCGTAAAGACCTGGGCTGGGATCACCGACGGCAGCTGTTGCGCTTTGCGTTCTGGCGTCGAAAGAGCCAAAAAAGGAGCAGTTGCCGTCAAGCCGAGTCCCAGCCCTACTATAAAAGTCAAGAGATGGAGCAGCACGGAAATCTGCCTGCGCCTTTGCGCTCGTTGAAAGGGGGCACGGCTATTCTCGTCACTTTGTTGGGGAACAGCCTTATAGAGTGCCTTGCCCTTCCGCTGAGTCGTTCCAATAGTTGGAAACATGGTAGTACTGTATATGAGTCTCGACATCTAGAGGGCTCTGGTCTTTCCTGATCGGCGTCACGGAAACCAGGTGGGAGATTTCCGCGCGGTTGGGCTGGCTTCGGCGGTGCGTTCGCAGCAACATAACCTGTTCAGAGTGTGCTACCAAGTAATCAGCCAAGTCTCGACCTACGGTTCGCAGAGGTAGCATTGGGAGAAACGCGGAGTGAGCGAAAGTGACAGTTCAAGCTGGCTTTCGGGCCAAGCTGCATCAAACTGTCATCCTGCATTGGCCCACCTCCCTGGTCCCCTTGACTTGCCATACAGGGCATCTGTGAAGGCTGAGGGGCAACAAGCATCTCTATTTGCAGGCACTGTGACTGTTGCGAATAGAAAACCAGTTGTGTTGTTGCTTGGGAAGATTGTGTAATGGCGAGCCAGAGTTGTGGGCGGTGAGGTGTATTGTTGGGGAGATATTTTTCTCCGGTGAATAGGAATACTGAGATGGCCTCCTAATCAATTAAACAGAGTAGAGTGCCGTATAATGCTTTGGATGATGCGTTTCCCACATGCCGCCGTTCTGTGTGATATCATGTGGCTGCTCGCCGGGACCTTGGCTCGGTTGCCAACCAGGTGTGCCGCTGCGCCTTCTTTTGTTTCTTGAAACATGGCTAAATTGAAAAGACCAGTCGATACTCTCACCATCTATTCCAGAATCTTGAAAGGCGCACGAATCCAATACAAGGCGGTGACAATTTGCTCGCCTCCCCCCGTCCAAAGCTTCGCGGGATACATACATCTTCCCATACATTCCCTCGAGAGGGTCGGCCTCGACCAGAGTCGGCCTATCAACATATTCTTCTGGTTCATTGAGAGCGAGAAAGATTCGATCACAGCACCGTTGAACTTGTATTGTAAGCCTCTTCCTTCTTCCTCTTGCTCGGCAGCCAACTAACCGCTCGGTGCACTGCGCGGCAGTAAATGGGGGACCAGGAGTAAGTGAAGATGCCTGCCTTTCTACCTCATCTAAATCTCATACTAAATACAATCCATCCACAGGCATCAAGCAGTACGTTACGAAGCCATCTCTTGACCACCAAATTCGGGACCGCCAATCTTAACCCCCCTGGGCAGCTGCCTCACTCTTGAGAGAAAACGGACCATGCCGTGTCAACGTAGACGGCAGAAGCACTCACACCAACCCCTGGTCATGGAACCGGGCATCAAACATGTTATTCATTGATCAACCGGTAAACACGGGTGCGTATGTCAATGATGTAGTACCCGGAGAACCCTCGTTCTGATTCCATCCAAGGCTTCAGCTACGACATGGCAGCAAATGCCACCGTCGACTATCGGGGCCATTACATGCTGCAAGACTTTTCAGACACGGAAATGCCGCAAGACGGCCGGCTGATGGAAGCTTCCACGGTAGGAGCAGGCTCTGTTGACAACGAAACGGCAGTAAACTGCACCGAGGCCGCGGTTCGTGCCCTCTGGTTGTCTCTCTCCATATGGCTCAAAGACTTTCCCAGGCCGGCCTCGCGGGACAACAGCATTGGGCTCTGGACGGCTTCATACGGCGGTCATTACGCTCCGGCCTTGTACGATTTTGCCATGCAGCAAAACGCCAGGCAAGACACAGACCCCAAAGTGTCATTCCACACAATCGGCCTCATCAATGCGTGTGTCGACGCGCTTGTGCAGCTGCCTGCGTATCCAGACATGGCGTACAACAACACGTATGACTATCAGCTGATCGACAAAAGTACCCTGCTATCCGCCAAAGACGCATGGGAGAGGCCGCATGGCTGCAAATGGAGAGTAGAGCGATGCCGCAGAGCTGCTGGAGCGCGGCCGTATCTGGGAAACGACGACGGCACAAACACTCTCTGCCGCGACGCCAACGCATTCTGCGGGCGACATGTTGCCAACATCATAGGCGCCAGCGGGAGGAACTTCTTTGACATTGGGCAAAGTACTCATCATCTCAGCGACCCGGGCCTGCACACGTACCTGAGCTACTTGCGGCAGACGGCGGTCCAGCATGCCCTCGGCGTCCCTGTCAACTTCACAGACCAGGCCACCGAGGTCGCCAGAGCATTCACCGAGACCGGGGATAATGTGAGAGGCGACTACGCGGCGTCTTTGGGCCGCGCCTTGGACAATGGCGTGCGTGTTTCTCTGGTCTACGGGGACCGTGACTACGCCTGCAACTGTAAGTCGAGATAATCTGCGGCAGTCCATGTCATTTCAGACAGGTGAACAAAACCCCTTGCTTACACGATGATCTAACATTGAAAACAAAAAATCAGGGCTCGGCGGCGAGGCACTGTCGCTCTCGTTTCCACACAAACACGCTGATGCGTTTCGCCATTCTGGCTTCCAGAGCATCCGTCTCCCGGCCGGTGCAGAAGATGGCGTCGCGTATGTACGACAGCGCGGCAACCTTTCCTTTGTCCGTGTGCTGGACTCGGGTCACACGGTCAACACGGCATGGCCGTCTGTCGGGTTCACCGTCTTCAACCGCACGGCGCGCCGAGTAGACGTGAGCACCGGGTGCGTTGACCTGGACCAAGTTGACTACTCGACCAAGGGAAGCACTTCCACCTGGCACGTCAGGAATGCGCTCCCCGTTGAAGCGGTAAATGGCGAGGGAATGTGCTACACCCTTGCCCTCTCCTTCTGCTCCCACAGGCAACTGAATGCCTACCTGACGGGATCGGCCGTTGTGCAAGACTATTGGATTGTGGACTACGGCGACGGTACGTGTAGCCCAAATCCAGTACGGCCGTGTAAGCCGCCGATATACGAAAAGTCATTGCTGCCACACGATTGGATATCGCGACAGGTCCTAGGCAGTGGCTGGGCCGACGTGACCTTTGTCATGTCCGTCGTCATTATCGTGGCATTTGCGGCCTGGACGCATCTCCCCACTGGCTATACCTAGCATAGAATGATACTTGGTGTTTATCGTCCACAAGAACAGAGGCCTACCCCTGTACTCCCTTTCTTCATGGTGTAGTCTTCCTTACTATGGCAGTACATGTGTGCCGTACCTGTAGAAACCTAGCCAACCTTCATGTAGGATTATGCTCAGACTCCTTCGACTTCCAGAATGATGAATACTTGAACCGAACCTCTTGACGCCCTCTCAGCTACACTTCATCGTACCGATTGTATCTCGCCATGGCGTAAATCAAAGTATATCCAACGAGACTGAACCCCGCACTGACAAAGTATGGAAGGCCCATGCGTACTCCCCCAAGGCCGAGAGATTCAACCAGTACAGACGTCCACATGCGGCTCGAGACGACGTGGACGACCGTCTCTACCAAGCTAATGGTGGCGTAAAGCTCAGTTATGCGCCGCGGAGGGTAGAAGCCGCTGACAAAGGCCTTGAACGTGTCCAGAGCCCCTACAGAGAGGGCCGAGACAGAAATGGCCACCACAAAGGCCGCGCCGTTCAAGGCCAGGCCCATGCCAACGGACCCGATGACGTGAAAGGCGATGCTGAGGCGGAGGATGAGCACCTCCATGCCGTGCGGGCTGCCACATCTACTCACGAGGAGCTGCGACGCAAAGGGCAGACCGGAGAGAATCAGAAAGCACACCACGGCCGTGTAGGCGTTGAGGTAGGCCACCACCGAAAAGGTCCAGTTGAAGCGCGCGACAGCCCACTGCGCCTGGATCATCTGGACATCGATGGCTAGAACCTTGACGACGTAGAAGAGAAGACTCCAAGAGAGCACAGGCTGCTTCCGTAGCTCTCGGCACGTGGAGGCGAGGCGTGCGTAAATGTCGTCGGCAACCCGGGATCCGTCCTTGGCCCGCTGCTCCCCGTGAACGTCGGGTAGCAGCGGGCTGCCGTCAGGCCGGGGCTCACCCATTCCTTCCGGCCGAGAAGCAGCTTGAGGCGTACGGGAGAAGGCGACAAGGGGCAGGTTGATTCCGTACACCAGAGCGGCCACGGGGACGGCGCTACGGGGATACTTGTCTAGGAGAACACCGCACAGGGCGGTGCCTCCGGCCCTGGCAACGACGAGCACCATGGACATCATGTAAAAGACGGAAGCACTATGCCGACCCTGTTAGCCCGTCTGCCGCGCAAGACATCGCACCGCCACGTACATACCGCTTCTCCGCCGTCATCCGGAAGAACAGCAGCGAGTTGAGCAGCACGTAGGCCATGGGCACGCCGCCGCCTACGCACTCGAATACACGGAAGAAGATGACCGAGTCCAAAGCCGACGCAGTCTTGGCAAAGTGACCTGGTGCAAAACGTGTCAGAAGGGGGGGGGGGGGGGGGGGGGGGGGGGGGGACGGCAAGTCCATTGAGCGGGTGAAGGTGACGGGAACAGGGAC